CGCCGCCATCTTGTAAATTAATTAATGCGTTCCTAACGAGATCAGAGGCGTCGGTAAAGCAGGAGGGTTGGCTGGTTCTCTACTTTGCCCGCCAAGGAGCCGAGGGGGTGAGATACTCAAGAGTGTATCTCGCGTCTCGCGCACCCCCGCGCGTGTCAGATGCACTCGAGATTCTCGGATGGCCGCCGCTCGATTTCTTTCGTTCTTCCGAGAAGTAGACAGCTCGGTAATTAAGTTCTGGGTCAAGTGGTCGCTTGGAAAACTTTCGAATGGCAATTGCGCGCGCGCGCGCGACTGCGATTTCTCGCGGTTCTCCGCCGGAGTGGTTTCTAAGAAATTTTCCTCATTCCTCGAACAATTCTCGATTCTCTCGCAATTCCGTGCACGTAAAGTGTATCGGGCCGAAGCCGCATTTATTTGCGAGCGCGTTTCAGCGAACATTCAGCGAATCTTCGAAACGAAACGCGCCAGTTCACAGCCCTGGGTGAGAGCGAATTAGTCTGTTCCCGGGGGTAGACAGCAGAGACAGGGTGTTAGCGGAAGGGGATGTTGGTCGGGGCGTCGGTGTCAGGATCTCTCGACCCTTTCAAACCCTTTCATCGGCGCTTCACCCGCTTACATAATGCAGCCACTCTAATTAAAATAAATTACACTCTCGCGCGTCAGTTCGCTCTTTTATCTCTCTCTCTTTCTCTCTCTGTCTCTCTCCCTTTTCCTTCCCCCGTCGGACCCGCACCCGCTCGTTCTCACCCTGCGTGTGTTCTGTCCCCTCATCCTTTCTCTCTCTCTCTCTCTCTCTCTCTCTCTCTCTCTCTCTCTTTTTCTCTCCTCCTCTCTCATTCTCCCTCTCATCCTCTTTTCTCTCCGCTAGCTTTTTTCGCTCTCACCCTGTCGCTTTTTTGTACCGCACTTTCGACCACCACCCGGTAACGCCCCTTCCGCCCTCTCTCCCCCTCTTGCTCGTTTATTTGCACTTTATTCGAGATTTAATTTACCGACCTCCGGCGACAGCCTCGTTGGTGCGCGCTCGACTCTGTGATGGGATTAAAAAGGCGGGTAGGGGATGATAGGATGGAAGAGACCGGGCGGCCGACGAGGGGGTGCAGGAGACCCGGGGGGTGGCGTAAAAGTTGGAAAAAGAGTAGCGCGACCGCGAGCTCCGCGACCAATGGAGAACGAACTGCCGGAAAATGGCTGAACCAAGGAAAAAGGCGAGGAGGAGGCGCGAGAGGGATGGGAAAGGGGGAGGGAGGGCGAACAATCGATATCGCGGCGTCTCGATTCGCGGCCGATTTTGCAACCCTCCTCTCGCCGCGGAAAAGCGACGTTGTGTATCCGCCGCGACATCGCGGGCACCGCGCACGATCTCTCGCTCAGCGCGAAAGCTTATACACATACACGGTAAATAACGGTATCGATTTCGATTAAACGTTTAAAATTGCCTCCTGTTTTCGCAGATATCAGCGTCGCTGATGCAGTTGCGAGAGCGACGGGGCCGCGAGCTACGAGGGATGATGTTGCATTGCATGGACGATTTTTTCCCCACGGCGATATTTGATTACGATTAACGCTCGGCAAACTCTCGTGCCGGGCCGCCGTCATCGCGCTCACCCCGAAATAACAAAATGTTTCGCAGGTAACGCAAGGCAAAATATTACATCTGCGGCATTTCGTACGCCGTCGAGGGACAGTTAAAGGTGGGGG